CATGGTCACTGCTCTGTGGTCAGTGCCCTTCCAAAGCTATGTGGACTTGTAGTCAGCCTCCGGCTCCCGCATCCTCATCCTAGTCTTATACACACCACCACGGCTCTGTGAGCTTTCAGTTGCTACACAGGAGGCAGACACCAATTGTCTAGCTTTCCTTGTTAATGAGGATGGCCACCAAAAATCCCTTTTCCCTCCATCCCTACACTTACAATTATGACAGAGACACTGAACTTTCTTCGGTTTATTAGGTTATTACTTCAACGTATGCCTTGTGGTTCAAGGCAAAACACATCAACTCTTTCCTCCATCAACAGATGGCATTAGTATTATTCAATTATTCTGAGGTTTGCTGAGTTGTGCTTATTTGTTAATTGTTTAATGATTATGAATACCAGATTGTCTTCCAAGTACAAAATACGAACAGTAATTGTGGCATCAAAGCAGAGAATTTTAAAGATTAAAATAGTGAGATTAAAATAAATTGCTTATATGAAACCATCAATAGAATAAAAAGATCTAGGGTGTCTTGCCAGTGTGGCTCAGTTGGTTGAGCATCGTCCCATGCACCAAAAGGTTACTAGTTTGATTCCCAATGCAGGAGGCAGCCAATTGATGTTCCCCTCTCACATTGATGTTTCTTTTTCTCCCTCTCCCTCCTCTTTCTCTAAAAATCAATAAAAAATGTTTTTTAAAATATGCTTTTAATTGATTTTAGAGCCAGAAGAAGGGAGCAAGAGAAGAGAAACATCAACGAGAGGGAAACAGATTGGCTGCCTCCTGCACATCTCCTACTAGGGATCGAGCCCACAACCCAGGCATGTGCCCTGACTGGGAATCAAACTAGTAACCTCTTGATTCTTGGGTCAACACTCAACCACTGAGCCAATCCTGCTGGGCAAAAAAAAAAAAAATAAAAAAAAATAAAAATAAAAATAAAAAATATATATATATATAGATAGATAGATAGATAGATAGATAGATAGATATAGATATAGATATAGATAGATAGATTGAGGGGCAAGCTGATATGCAGGAATCAGGTGAAAAGGAGTCAGCCAAGAAACTAAGAAGGAATGACGTATCATCTCATTTCCAATGGAGAGGTAGGCGGAAAACTAAGAGAGTGTTGAGCTTCTGGAAGCCAATGAAGAAAAACTGGAGAAGGAGAAGCCATAGCAACTTTACCCAGAAAACTAAACAAATTCTTAGTCAGAAGGGGCACCTCATAAAAACGGGAGCAGCTGCTATTAGAAATGGTTATTTAGAGTCAGGTCTCAGCGAAATTCATCTGTACCCTCACAATGGAGACTGTAAGTGGGCAGGCCTAAGAGAGATCATGTGGAGCTTCCAAGGAACAATATATGACGCTTTATTTGTAAAAGTGACACTAAAAGATAAGACCTCCAACCTTGCTTTGAGAGCAAGATTGCTATAAAGCATACAGAGCCCCCTCTCAAATCATCATGAACAGTCTAATAAACAAGATCTTAGGATTTTAACATAACCACAAGAGCACTTCATTCTGAATCTTTAAAAAGACCTAGATAGACAAATTAGTTCCCTAGTTGATTAAGGATTCGGTTTTAACCCAAATCTTATGCTCAAGGCCCAATCCTGTGAAGTCTTTAACTAACCACCGTTCCAAATGGATACCATCTTTCTCCTTTGATGCTATAGCCCCTAAAACTACTTAATCGGCACCCACATTGTCTTAAAATAACTCATATTTATGCCAGACCTGGATAGATGCTTTACATAGATACATTTTCTCTAATCCTTACAACAACTTTGTAAAGTTGGGTTTATCCCTATTTTATAGATGAAGAAACTAATGCTTGGAGAGGTTACCCAAGGTTGTCCAACTAGTAAAGAACAAAACCAGGACTCAAACCCAGATCTGTCTTACTTCAGATCTGTCTTACTTCAGAACCTTTACCTTTTCCCATCCTACAATCCTGCATTTAGGTACTAAACTATTTATCGGTCACTCTCTCTGTGGACCCCCAGGCAAATTTTCAAATCTCAGTGCCTCGGTCTTCTCATCCATGAAGAATGATACATCACAGCAAACGCATTATTTTGAAGATTAAATAAGATAATTTATGTAAACGTCCTTTCTAAGCTATAATGATCTTTATGACATTACTAGATTTTATGTTCCTTCAGGACAGATTCTTACCCTTAGGTATCTATGCCCTTCAACACCCAAAAAGGGTTTAATATGAACTGAACCTCATCTACTGGTCTTTGGAAAGATTTGAGACACCTTTTCCCACGCTGAGGAGGAAAGAGGTGTCACATTCCAGAAAGTCTGGATTAAATGTCCTTAATTCAAACCTTACATTATAACAGATGGACAACTCAGTGCACCCATCAGACACGAGTTTCAAACACCTACATGGCATTTAACTGTCTGGTGTTTGCTCTCCAACATGGCTGTCAGTGCCACAACAGTTTGACAAAGAGAAAATCTCGAATATCAACACCTTTCCTAAGAAAACATGCCTAAAGGAGGAAAAGCAGAAAGAGGCCTGGCTTGATATCAGAGCCGGAAAAAACCTCACTGCTCCTGTGTTTCCTGATTTATAGTCTTCTGGTGACCAAAGTGTCTGTAGCACCATCTTCCTCATCACTCACTACTAAGAAATTTGTTTAAGGACGTGACCATAACATATTTATTAAGTTTTATTAGGCATATTCACTTCCCCCCAGTAAGATGAGCATATCTGCCCTGGCCCATGTTTCTCAGTGGATAGAGCATTGGCCTGTGCACTGAAGGGTCTTGGGTTCAATTCCTGGTCAAGGGCACATACCTGGGCTGCAGGTTCGATCCCCACCGCAATCAGGATGCATGCAGGAGACAATGTATCTCTCTCACATCAATGTCTCTCTGTTTCTCTCTCTCTCCCTCTCTTCCCCCTCCTTCCCTTCCACTCTCTCTAAAAATCAATGGAAAAAATATCCTTGGGTGAGGATTAGCTACAACAACAAAAATAAGATGGGCATATCCGGTGGTATAGCCTGGGAAGTAGCCCATTGTGCTCCAAAGTGAGGCTATACTAGATGTGCCTCCAGGTAAGCACAGTGGGAGGGAGCCAAGCCATGCTTTGCTGTTATATGATCCTTAGGAAGTCACTTAACATCGTTTCTTTTCTTCTTTTATTTTGAGGCTATGTTTATTAAAGCTGGGGGGTAATGAAACACGGAAGGTCTTAGGATAGAAGAAGCAACAGGAGAAAGAGTAGTGGAGCTGCTGTGGCTCACTGAGAAGTCAGACACTTCTTTCACGGGGTGAGCCTGGGAGGAGCTGTCTCTGCCCACTGCTCCCCTGGGGGCAAGTCTCCGGGAGTCCCTCGGAGTTTAGGAGAGCTGTGCCTGAGGGAGACAAGGAGGGGAACGGGAAAGGTGCAGGCATGCTCCATGGTGGGAGAGAGAAGCATCTTTGTTAACAATGGATCTGCTTTCCAGGCTAATGATATTTATTTTGCCTCAGATTTCTTGTGATCAAATGAAATAGTATATGTTAAGTTTACAAATTATAAAAATATTACCAGGAATAACTAGACAATTGCCTACTACTTGTGCTTTGATAAATATTTGGTATAGCAAAGCTGAGAGACTGATTTATCTGGGTGTGTTCACCTTATAGTACCAAAGAGAATTTTTTTTTTTAAACTCTACTCATCTTTGAAAAGAACATAACAAATGTTATCTTAATAAGAGAAGCCATGGAAGAGGAAATTGGTAAAGCTGATCCTTCCACAATGGATCTGTAGCCCAACAACAAAAATATAGTTTCCAATGGTTCAGATATGTCTTCCTAAAAAGTGTGCGATGGATCATTAGATTGAGATGTAGCCACTTACTGCATATGTGACAGGGGTCACATACTAACTCATTTTACCTAGAACCTCAGTCACTAAAAAATGCCAAGTGCCTCACAGAACTAAAAACTAGTTCTTCTTGTCTTCCCTGTGGTCATCCCAGATGCTTCCCCCACGCCTCTGGCAAATAAGGAATAAGGAGAACTGAGAAATAAAAGTATTCTTGAATCCAGGACATGCCTGGCATCTCTCTTCATGTTTCCTTAACCTAATTCCTATGAACTGGGCATAGGAACCCGCAGTGTTGAACATGCAGTTTACCAGCTAACCCCTTGTGCCCCGTAATTTTTTTACCTATGTTACAAACTTTCGCTAAAACTTTAAGGAAAAATCACACGAATGTCCAAAAGTAGGCTAAAAGCTAAATAGGATTCTGGTTCACACACATAGTATGCATACAAAAGAAAAATGTATCTTAGTATCATTTATCTTTATCAAGTATGTTGACCTGTAAATACACTATCAGCCACAGCGGTAAGAAGAAAGGAAAAACACATGAAATAAGTATCTTAGAGCAAATACCTGCCAGGGGCAAATATTTTAGACACCTTCGTGGTTCAGTAGAAATAGAGATAAGCAATATAAATTGTTTGAGCTCTTGAGATCCTAATTTCCTGTGAAACCCTTCCCTCTATTCTCCTTGAGAACTTGGTAACATTTCTTAAATAATCAATCCCAGAAGTAACCCACAAGTGAATGTCAGGCTTCTTTGTGTCAAGGCCACTGGCTTTCCTATTTACCTAATTTCCGAACGGTTTCAAAAAGAATTTATTGAAGTTGGCAAAAATCACTGCGCCATCTTTGCCCCAAGTTATAGGATTTGCAAGACACTTGAAGCAACAGTGACCCATCAAGTTTTTCAGACCGATGCCTGAAGTTGTTTTTGTTTGTTTAGGTTTAGTGATGTTTAAAATATCAAAGCACACCGTTAAACATTCCCTCTCTTTCATGATCTGATAGCTGTTGTCTTAAAAGACCTTGAACTTCAGGAGTCCCTGAATTGTGATCACCAGAGATTTTTAAGGCCAACTTCAACCTGATCTATGTGCTCTTCTAGGCTTTCCTGTTATGAAATAACATCTGTCACCAGCAAAGCCAAGGAAGCATACTCACCAAGTGAACATAAGGCACAAAATATCCAAAAAGTGCGAGCGGTATTCCAACTGCCCACACTGCGTAAGCCTTCACCTTGAAGATGGCAAAATTGAAAATTTTTTGGGGAGGACTGAACTTCCTCCGGGAAAAGAAGGAGGATCTCTTGCCTCCTTTGATTCCACTCTCTTTCTCTCTGACACTGGGAACAAGAGGTCGGTAAGTAAAGCCAGCCAGAAAGAGAACAAACATGAAGATGCAGAGGATTCTCAGCGTGTAAAAGAGGTCCAAATTGTCGGTCAGAACCCTTAGGAGGAGAGGCAGCAAGATTGTGAAGAGACTGCTGCCAGCGGTGACGATGCCGTTCACCAATCCGAGGCGCTTCTTGAAATAGTGGCCCAGAATGACCAAGGAAGGCTGGTAGGCAAAGGAGCAGCCGCTGGCAAATATGATTCCGTAGGTGAGGTACAGCGGTTCGATGGAACTGTGTGAAGACGAAAAAAGATGGAAAGCGGCTTTCATTATTTTTATCATGTGCTTGGTAGAATAAAACCTTCGCATGCCAGTGGGTTTAGTTAATCAGTGTATTTTCTACAAATAAAATGTAGCTAAAGACAGGTGGAAACCTTGGTAAACCAAGAACGTAGCACTAAAAACATTTTAACTTAATCTGAATGGGTAACAGAAATGCCTCAGGTATGTGAGAAATGACCGCTAAGGTCATCGGTGCTTTTGTTCCTCCTTCTCTTCCCATGGATCTCCGGCGAGCCCTGCGGCCCTGGGTAGAAGCTGTGTGCTCTCCACTCTCACACAGGACGGGCCTCAGTGAAAGCGACAGGGTTGAAAGGAACACAAAACAACTCAGTCTCAATAAACGTCTAAACTATGAAAACTCCTTATTTTATGGGGTTTTCCCGGGCACAGAGGAAAAGGCTGTGCCTTATGTTTCCTCCCCAGGTTACGTTCGGGTCACCTGCACAGAAGAGCAGCTGCATCTCATTTTGCTGGCCTAAGGGCTGCAGACCAACCTTCGCCCCGTTCCGCACTGTCCTCGGCATTATGCAAGATAGCAAGGAGTCACGCTCTCACTACAGAAAGAGCAGATGGAGCATGCTCCCAGTTCGCAAGCTATAAGGCCACATACGTCTCAAAGAAATAAGGGGTCAAGAATGTCATAGTTTAACCAAGTAACGTAATTATACATATCTTATAAAAACAAAGGAGCATATCATTACATTCGTTGAAACAATTCAGGAGAAAAGGAAAACAATATTTTTTTTCCCTTTGAAATGTCTAATTCAGAAGGCTATTTATCAAACTATCTAATAGAAATTAAGATAAAGTTGGTTAATGATTAAATTTTGGACAATAATACTAGTCTAGCAATATGCTGAGGTAGGCACAGGAACTCTAGAATCTGATAAAAATTAAGCATGTCTGCAAACCTTTCAGGTGCCCTTTCCCCTCTGTTAATCCACAACTGCATCATCGTTTAATCAGGTTCCAGAGTCACTCCCAGATTAACGTGACCTCACCCTGATCACCCATTACTGTATCTCCACTCTTGATTCAATAAATACATATTCATCAGCTACCACGTTCTAGGTGCTTGGTGAAAAAAATATTTAAAATGTGGTTATGCCCTACTCATAGTCTGCTTAGTAAAACAAGATATCTATTCCATATACTACAGAACAAAATATAAATAACATTTCATTTATTCTGCATCAATTTTTTTTCCACAGAAATAGTTTTCCAGATAATTGGAACTTACTTCTTAAGGCACTATTTCTTTATTTTTATTTATAATTTTCTTTTTATTTAATTTTAAAGGAAGAATCTAAATCTATTATACATTTATCTGCTTTCTTCAAGGTGTATATTAAAAATGGTATTCACCAGGGGAGGATGAGCTGGGGTGGTGGTAAGAGATCAACCAAGGGACTTGTATGCATACATATAAGTATCTTCAATGGACACAGGCAGTAGCGGGGTGAGGGCATGTGCTGGGGGTGGGAGAGGATAATAGGAAAAAGGAGAATTACGTAATACTTTCAACAATAATGAATTGGCTGGCGCCATTTTGATGCTTAGCCATCTAGTTTTCCAGATGACCTAATAAATTCATAATTATTTAACAAAACAAACAAAAGTAAAGAATTTAAATTTTTTAAAAATGGTACTGACAACAGTATCATCATGAACGTCAATTGCTATGTGATTACACCCCAGTGCTGTAGAGCTGTCAGCTGGAAGACCAGGGGGCCAGGAATATAAATTGAAAACATTCTTTGGACACCGTTTTAAAAACGAAATACCTCCTATCTCTCCCAAAAAATCAAGTACAAAAGCTTTGTGATGGCATTTTTGCTGCCACTGAGTCCTTCTCATTTACTTCTAAATTTTCACCTCAGTAACAAATGGATCAAATTGTTGAAAGTCTGACAACTGAATAAGTGCAGTGTAAGTCAGTAAGATGCCAGTCACGTGTGTAAAAAGGATTCAGAGAAGGGACATGATGTGCCCTGGGATTGCTGGAGAAGGTTTTCCTAAGAAGGCAGAACTTGAACTACAAGAAAAGTGGGTCCACTGTTCAACACTTTGAACTTATACCACATTCCCCCTTGCTCCTGCGTATTGCTCTAAAAGCGCGGTATCTTTCGCCAGGCCGGTGTGGCTCAGTGTTTGAGCGCTGACCAGGAAGTCATGGTTTGATTCCAGGTCAGGGCACAGGCTTGGGTTGTAGACTTGCTCCCCAGTAGGGAGCATGTAGGAGGCAGCTATCCAATGATTCTCTGTCATTGATGTTTCTATCCCTCTCTCCCTCTTGCTTCGTCTCTCTCTGAGGTGAAAAAAATATTTAAAACCACATATTTTTAAAATAAATAAATAAAAGTTTGGTATCTTTTGATCAATGGGACTGAGTGGAAAATATGAGAACATTACATGTAGTAAATATGGTTTCAAGACATTCTGTTGAGTCGCAATGTAAAACACATTTCATAATTTTTATTTTTCAATCATCAAAAAAGTTTGAAAAACATTGCTTTCTGTAAGTAGGTTTGTATATATGTTTTTTGTCTACCAAATAAGGTAATAAATTACATGGGTTTTCTACCTGTTGGTCATCTCTCTACCAAAGCCTGATTGTTAATATATTCAGCAAGTGCTAGGGCCCCAGGTACTGCAATGGATACCTGGAAGCTTCCAGATCAAAACAGGTATCTGACACGTTGGTAATAGCACAATATTGTATTATTGCCAAAAACAAAAACTCAAATTAGCCCTGGCTGGTGTGGCTCAGTTGGTTGGAATGTCATCCCATGCACCAGAGGGTCATGGGTTCAATTCCTGGTGAGGGCACATGCCTAGCTTGTGGGTTTGAGCCTGAGTTAGGGAAGCAACAGATTGATGTATCTCTCTCATGTCTATGTTTCTCTCTCTCCCTATCTCCCTTTCTCCCTCTATAAAAATAAGTAAATAAAAAGGTTAGAACTTCCTTTAAATACAAAGTGAAAGTAATTACCTAAGCAGAATCTTATTTCAAACAAAATTGTTTTGTTTTTTTACAAGTCAACTTTAGAAGGGAAAAAGTCATAAAGGCACTATAAAAATGGAATATATATTTTCTATCAAGACATAAAAATAATTGTTTAGAATCCAAATAAAATTTATAGCCCTAGCTGGTTGGGCTCAGTGAATAGAGTGTCAGCCTGAGGACTGAAGGGACCTGGGTTTGATTCTGGAAGCTCGATCACCAGACCTGGTCAGGGAGCATATAGGAGGCAACCAATTGATGTGTCTCCCTCACATCAATATTTTGCTATCTATCTCTCCCCCTCCCATTCTCTCAAAAAAAAATTTTTTTTTCTAAGTTAGGTGAAAGAAAGGGGCTCATTTTAGAGATGAGGAAAGGGTACGGGTAGGGTGGGTGGGAGTAAAATTAGTAAACCAAGGGTTCTGTTTATTAAATCCAGAATCTTTAAAAAATAATCTGAGCAACAAATGTGAATGTGTGGTTTTTTTCTAATGATTCAACAATGCTTTTCAACTAGTGCATGAAGATAGTTAGGTAAGGGAAAGAGGCAAAAAAATTAGGATTAAACCACTAAAGCAGACATAAATGGACATCATTTTAAGAGGTTTTTCTTGTTAATCACCTGTTAGCTAGAGCAATATATTAAACCAGTGTTTCTCTGGGGATTATTCTGAGAATGCAAAGGGATTTACTAGCAGAGCTGGAGCTGCAGGGAGAAGTGCTTCATGCCCATCAGCTCTTTGCTGTTAGTTCCTCGTCATCTGCATGAACTACATCTCTAACAGACACAGGCAAAGGGTACTGATATATTTTTTTTTTTCTTTTAAGCTGTATTTGACCATTTCATTTTGCCATAATCTTTTTTTTTTTTTTTTTTTTTTTTTTTTTTTTTTTTTTTTTTTTTTTTTACTTTTGTGTGTTCTTTAAAAAAAAATGCACACAGGAGTCCTCTACCTGGGTTGAAATAAATAACCAAGTTTTTTCCCATTAGTAAAAATATTTCATATCAAGCCTATGGAACAACTGCTTCAACACACCACTTACTTTACCTTTCAGGCCTCAGATTGAGCTGACCTACAACTAATGCTTTAGACAACTCATTGTACGAGTCCTTTTAGGATTGTTATGTGATTAGAAAAAGACAAAAGGAGAAACATTTTTCTTGCTCCAGGGAACATATAGGGTAAATCCTGAATAACATCTGTTAGGCACTGTAAGCAAAAAACATTCAATTTCTCGAGCTCTGATTTGCTGCTATGGATAACAACGAGAAAGTCATATTGCTTACAGTTTAAGCAACAAAAAGGAAGATTTTTATTTATTTTTTTTTTTTTTATAAACAGCAAAGTTTCTGAAAGGAAAACTTTAAGGTATCTAACAGTTCTCAAAAGCCAACATGAAGAAACCAAATCCTTACCTTACAAAAGAACTGGACATGAGTCCAATGAATCCAATAGCAGCACCCACAACAGCTGTTTTCCGACAACCAAATATGTCTGTGAAGATGCTGACTATTGGGCAGCAAAAGAAAATCATCCCCATGGAGAGAGAACTTACCCATGCTGTAAAGAGAGGAAAAAATGAAGGGATATTACGACAAGGTAAATTACATTTGCACTTATCCCACAAGTTATAATACATATTAGGAAAATAGTAACAGTCAAAAACTGGAAAGAATCCAAATGTCCAGAAATAAGTGACTGGATAAACAAATTATGCTATATTCATATAATAGAATACTACTCAGCAATAAGTAAGAGTGAACTACTGATAAATACAGCAACATGGATCAAAACCAAAATAACCATGCTAGGTGAAAGAAGTCAGACTAAAAAGGAGTCTATAAAGTATGATTCCTTTTATATAAAATTCTAAAAAATACAAATTAATCTATAGTACCAGAAAGTATATCAGTGTTTACCTGGTTAGGAACAGGTGGGAGGGAAGAGGGAGGAGGGAGCTGGAGGAAGAGATTACCAAGAGGCACAAAGAAACTTTTAAGGGTAATGGTATGTTCATTATCTTCACTGTGGTAGTGGTTTCACTGGCTTATACACATATGACAAAACTCACCAAATTACATACCTTAAAAATGCTAAACAGTTTATTATTACATCAACTATACCTCAATAATGCTGATAAAACAAGAAATGAATCTATGTGGAAGAGTTCAACAGCAACAAAAAATAATGTCATAAAAAACAAACACACAAATAAAACCCAGAACTAGAGGGAGAACTAGACAAATCCACAACTGTAGTTGTATATTTTAGCACAGCTCTCTCAGTAATTAATAGAACAAGAAGACACCCCGCCCCCCCCAAAAAAATCAATAAAATATACAATTCTGGATGACACTACCAACCATCTTAACCTATTGACATACATAGAACTCAATATTCAACAATTGCAGAAAAATTGTTTGCTCTTCCAGGGAAATCATTAATCACTGATAAGGGTTGGGTGGGACAGGTGCAGGAGAGAACTCATCTTTCTGGAATGCCTTCTAAACCACGGGAAGGACCTGCACAGAACTGTCTTAGATCTTTAGGCAGCCCTGCAAGGTATATTATCTTCATCTAAATATGGGAGAAAGATTAGAGATGTGAAGCAACTTGCCAAGGTTATGCAACTTTAGTGGGATTAAAACAAACATTCAAGGTATAAACAGAAATAAGAAGATATACCCAAGAGATCTTTATTTAAAAACATCCACCACGAGTACCCACAGGCAAGCATCATACCATATATATGTAAATTTTAAATTTTATTTCAGAGAGAAGAAGGGAGAGGGAGAAAGGGATGAAAACATCAATGATGACAGAATCATTGATGAATCGGCTGTCTCTTGCCAGCCCCCCACTGGTTCTCTTGCTGAATCTGAGATTTTCAGTGTTAAGATAAAGCATGAAACTTAACAGACCTGGTTCCAAATTTGGAATTCAAGGAGTCAAGTGGAAAAAAGTGCAAACCATTAGGTAGGGAGGGTGAGGAAGGAGAGAATCAAATGAACAAAATATACCTGCCACTCAGAATGATCCTGCAAACTCAAATTCCAAAAAACTGAAGCAAATCCAATGCTAAGAAAGATAACCAACAAAATCACCAATTAGCATATGCAGTCACTCCATATGAAATTAATTCTATAGACTAGCCTGACTACCACACCAAGACGAGTATGTTTAGAATGTTTAGAGAAATAAATTTTTATTTAAAAATAGAACAAGAAATTGTGAAACAAATAAGAAAAAAAAATCAAGGGCAAGTACATAAAAAAGAGTATTCATTAGAAATCCTAGCCCTAACTGGTTTGGCTCAGTGGATAGAGCATTGGCCTGCGGACTGTGGGGTCCCGAGTTCGATTCTGGTCGAGGGCATGTGCCTTGGTTGTGGGCACATCCCCAGTGGGGAGTGTGCAGGAGGCAGCTGATCGGTTTTTCAAGACATAAGTACAAACATGAAGGAAAATATGGATGAGATCTAACTTCATTAAAATTTACAACTTCTATGCCTCAGAAGACCCTAGAACCAAAGCAAAAAGAGATGATTCTTAGAAAAGATCACTGTAGTGCATATAACTAGCAAATTATTATCATCTTGCATTTATAAAGAGAGCCTATAAATCAAGTAGGTTAAAAACAACCCAACAGAAGAACGGGCAAAAGAGTTGGGAGGAAAGAGACAGAAGAGAAAACCCAATGGCCAACTGACATTACTAAGGTGCTCATTAGTAATCTAAAAAATGCAAATTAATAGAATAAATCACCAAAATTTGGCAAAAATTTAAGAAGTCTGACCTTAACAAATTTTAGTGAGGCTATGAGGAAATGGAAATTCTTATGCATACCACATAAACTGAAATTACCATCGTGAACAGCAATTTAGTAACATCTAGGAAAAGCCAAAGATGTGCAAACCTCACATTCTACCACTTCCACTTTCAGGTATGCACTCCAGAGAAATTTCACACATGTACACAAGGAGACATGAATAAGAACGATCACTGAAGTGCTGTTTGTAAAAACTGGAAACAGCCCAGCTGCACGCTTCAGTGGCTGAGCTCAACTATGAACCACGAGGTCACGGTTTGATTCCCGTTCAAGGCACATGCCTGGTTTGTGAGCTCATTCCCCATAGGGGGCATGCAGGAGGCAACGGATCAATGATTCTCTCTCATCATTGATGCTTCTACCATGTTTCCCCGAAAATAAGACATCTTCCGAAAATAAGAACTAGTGCATGGAAAGATAAGACATCCCCTGAAAATAAGACCTAGCGCAACTTTGGGAGGAAAAAATTAATATAAGACACTGTCTTATTTTGGGGGAAACAGGGTATCTCTCTTTTCCCCTCCTTTTCTCTCTGAAATCAATAAAAATATTTTTTAAAACAAACAAAGAAAAAGCAATCTTATGCTTGTAACTAGTTTTGTCTGAGCTAGAATCTATTTCAATGAACCCAGCCAGAACATCCAGGCCTTGAAAACATAAAGACAAATAAGCTTCCTTTCACAATGAGAATATCTGCAATGTGAAGGGAAAATGGAGGGTTAAAGTAATTGCTACAGCGTAAACTAGAGAAGAAGGGTCCTGACTATGAACAGGCGGTTCACCAAGCCATACCAGTCCTGCCAAAGAAGGTAAATATCAAGCCAGCCTAAGTGGAGAAAGACATTATTCCAAAAAAGTCCTTCGTGAGATCTTGAATAATTTAAGAGTGATTTAAATCATAAACCTTTATGTTGCCATTTAATACTTAATAGCAGCACGTGTTATTTAAAAAGTAAAAAGGAATATTAATACCTCACAGAGCTTAGAGTGCTAAAGGTCATTCTGGACGGCTTATACTATCCCCATCCACGCAAGAGGAGCGAAAGAACTGTCTACTCCAAGCATGTCAAACTCAAAGGCTAACATGGGCCAAATAAACAAGGTGTAAGTTTATGTGGGCCACAAAAAAAACCCAAAAGCTTCAATTTTCATAGAAATGTAGGTTTACGGTTTGGCTCAGTGGTAGAGCATTGGTCTGCGGACTGAAAGGTCCCAGGTTTGATTCCGGTCAGGGGCATGTACCTGAGTTGCGGGCACATCCCCAGTAGGGGGTGTGCAAGAGGCAGCTGGTCGATGTTTCTCTCTCATCGACGTTTCTAGCTCTCTATATCTCTCCCTTCCTTTCTGTAAAAAATCAATAAAATATATTTTTTTTAAAAAGAAATGTAGGTTTATTTCAATAGAGACATGCTGAATACAAGGGGCTGAAATAAATGAGTAATCCTGTCTAATAAAAGAATAATATGCAAATTGACCATCACTCAAACACACAAGATAGCTGCCCCCATGTGGTCAAAAATGGCCACCACAAAATGGCTAGTAGAGGAGGGCAGTTGGGAGGGACCAGGCCTGCAAGGGAGGGCAGTTGAGGCAATCAAGCCTACAGGGAAGGGCAGATGGGGGGACCAGGCTTGCAGGGGAGAGCAGTTATGGGCAAACAGACTGGCAGGGGAGCAGTCAGGCATCAATCAGGCTGGCAGGGAAGTGATTAGGGGGTGATCAGGCTGGCAGGCAGAAGTGGTTAGGGGCAATCAGGAAGGCAGGCAGTTGGGAGCTAGCAATCAGGAAGGTGAGTAGTTGTGAGCCAACAGTCCTGGATTGTGAGAGGGCAGTCGGATATCCCTCGAGGGGTCCCAGATTGGAGAGAGTGCAGGCTGGGCTGAGGAACACTCCCACCCCCTGTGCACAAATTTCATGCACCAGGCCTCTAGTTATTAACATAAAATAATAGAACATTTTAATAAAAATTAATATTTTTTCTTGAACATTAACTTACCAGACAATGAATAACTGCACAAATTAATAAGTATAACACAAATAAAACTATTTTTCTTGTTCTCCGAAAGCGAAATATTTCCTAATGTTCATAGCAAACAAGTCAGTACAAGACTAATGATGTGGCAATTGGCTGCTAATATATTTGCTGCTAGTACATATTAGTGGAGTGAAATGGTGTGCGCCTGTGTTTAAAGGAAATGAATGCAACGCAATTATATTGATAGTAATCATTCATTAGTAAACGTTGTATTTCATTATTAATAACTAGTGGCCCGGTGGACGGATTTGTGCACATTGAAAGGAAATTAATTGGAAGAAATATTTTAATATCTCTATTCTCCCTTTCTCTATAATAGAAGCATCAACCAAATTCAAGATCAACAATGACAGATCAAAACACACACGTGTGATTGGCACCAGCAAGAGTTTAATATGTATCATGCATGTACTAGTCAACTTAATAAACCTGTTTAATTAGATATAGAATAAACTTGTTTAATTAGACTTGCTTTCTGATGTAGCTAAACTTTTTTCAACCCAGTGAGGCACCCCAACTTCTCCTTCAGGTAATTGTCAGCAACACAGCAGTAAATATCAACATGAAGTAGATTATTATTGCAGATCACACAGGGAGAACAAAGGGTAAAATATTTAACATCAGCAATATTTGACTATATTCTGCACAGTGAGAAAACCTGAAGTCATTTTCAGGGTCCACCATTTCTTACTTCTTG